TTGTTTTTACTGACGATTCGTTATATAATGCTGCTGCTAATAGCTTTATCAAAGTATAAGTATAAAATAAAATCTTATCTATAATGGAACTTTATCAAAGTATTATTAAACCGGAATTTACAAAATCCACTCAGTTTATATATAACAAAGAGTTAATGGCTGAGAAAATAGACTACTTAGGTCAAGATAAAGGGACGATAGAAAGTCAGAATAGTAGTGAAGATCACTATACCAAATAACAAAGGTAAGAAATAGTATGTCTGTTATGATATCAAAACAAAATTTACTAACTTGATCATCGTTCGTCAGTCTAGGGTCATTTTTGGTTGTCAAGTTGGTTAGTTGGTAAAGATAACAAAGCCGGGTGTATATTGTTGTTGGATTTTATCAGTGTGTAAAATTATAAAAGCAGTGCGTGTTTACATAGTGAACTTGCTTATCCCATTTGTGTTGATTTTGCCACTTTATGGGGGAGGGGGGGGTGTTGTAACCAGGTCAAATTCTGTTTTAGTCCATCATTCCTATTCAGCTCAGATAATTTGGATTCCACTTTGATATGAATGGCTGGCTTCTGATGATGTAAGACGTTCTTTGTGATTTCTGAAATGCTTTTTCTGGATTATTTGAATATTGTCAAAATCAATTTTGTGGCCTGATTCTATAGCGTATAGGCGAGCTATGGCTGATGATTTTTCAAGTTTTTCTAGTGCAACTTCGATGTTTGGTTTTAGTGATCTTCATTGTTATTTTGACTTTCAATATGGCTGCCTTTTAACTTGACCTAAGTAGTCTACTTTTCTCAGCCATTAACTCTTTGTTATAGATAAACTGAGTGGATTTTGTAAATTCCGGTTTAATACTACTTTGATAAAGCTATTAGCAGCAGCATTAAATAGCGAAACGTCAGTAAAAACAACGATATCGTTTTGTTTTTCATTCATTGAGTGGGAAATACAAAAAGACCTTTATTATAATGAATAAGCCGACCATACACAGGGTCCGGGGTTCGATCCTCGGCCACAGACGCACTCCTTTATCTCGTTGAGCCAGAAATAATGCTGGTAAAGAGGAAAGGTTGGCCATGAGGCTGGCTAGCAACCCCATCCTGTAAAAATAAACACCACTGCTTCAGAAACTTCAAGCTACTAGCTTGAAGCCCTATGTTCCACTGGGGAACGTGAAGGAAAAAATACATAATGAATAAGCAATCAAATCAGGTGGAATTGATCACTTTAATGGACAATTTAGTTGGAAAACAAAAACGTGAAAATAAACAAGAAAAACTAATCAATTAAATAATCGATCGGTCAGTCAATCATTCAAACGCACACACACCCACACACTTAACAACAAATGAAACCCTAGTCAGGTGTCAAAATTCTTCCTTCCTTTTTAGAGAACTAATTTAAGACATGATATGTCCAACATCATATGCTTTTTTTCCTATAGTTAATGTGTGTGTACACACACGAACACAGAGGTCAGTCAACCTATGAAATAATCGATTATTGCGCAGATTTTCTTTTCTAAATATATTAATATTACTTAGTTCTAACTCCTATGAATTTCTCAAGTGGAACATACGGCTTCACTGGCACGTTTTCATTTTGTCGTGTTCTCAGCAGTTCTTATCACCTGGCTCCACGACTGTCAGCCAAATGCCCCGATCTCCTCCATTTCACCCTCGGACACTCATTCGGGTTCCAATCGAGGGGCAGGTGTATGTGTGTGTGTGCAATACCACTCGACAGTCTCCTAAACGTGCATTCCAATCGATCTACATTTTCTTCGCAATACTTATTGATCAATAGGTTGTTGAGTCGGTGGTACAGCGGTTAAAACTTTTGTCGACCATCCACATGATCCGAGGTTCGATTCCCAGCCGATGCACACCTGATATCAATGGTCGGCCTGCAAAATTTCGGCTAACGATACCACATGCTGAAAATTTCATACTTGTACCGAAAGTGCTGTGTGGAATCAAGCTATAATCTCTCTCTCTCTCTCTCTTTATATATATATATATATATATATATATATATATATAGTGATTGGTTCTTTCACATAGTCTTTTGTTGCCTAATTCTTTCTGACCAACGATTTGATCTTCAGTAAAGGTAGCAAAGGTAGCCGTCGACAAAAGTTTGCAGCCTGTTAGCAATGCTTTTCAGGATGCGAAAGCCAAGTTTCTGACCCACATGGAAGAAAGAATTGACTAACTTGACATTGATATTGAAAATTCAAATCTTGTTGTTTCTCCTGAGTGTGGAAGATTTCCAAAATTATTTCAGAGTCATGAAGGTCTACGTTAACTTTCCGGTCCTGGCGGGTTTGGACATCCTCATCAGTACCGATTGCCTGTAGTTGAGACGATGCTTCCTAGCAAGATAAGTAGAGGAAGCAACCTCTTTCAGATTTATTCCGTTGATAGCGATTGATGCTAGTTGTGGTTGTTGTTGGTTGGTTATCTCCGTCGCCACCGCCTTCTCTATGTTCATTTGAAGTCCTATCTTCGCTGCCCACCTCTTCTGCCAGTATGTTCGTTTTCGCCTGTAAGTCTTCGAGTTAGCACACATTACACAAAAATCATCCACATGCGAAATCCATATCTTCTAGGGTTTTCTTATCGGTCCGCAGTATTCATGTCTGCCATTCTATGCTTTGTTCGATGACGATCATTCGTAGAGCTGCAATTTGATCAACAACATGATTTGACTTTCCTGAATCCATCTTGTTCCGGGTTGGAGGCGTTCTGCATCCAGTGCATATTTTAGCCTCCCCAGGATGACACGACTTAATTATTCTGCTTGGCGTGGAAAAGAGCACCGTTCCGCGCCAGTTTTTGCAAAGGCCTTTATATTATATACAGGAAACATTTAACGATTGTCTTCCAGTATGAGGTGAAAACGAATCTTGCTTAGGTGAACTGTAAACTATCTGAGATTATTTTAGAGTTGGAAATGAACAAGAAAAACCTAGATCAATCGATCGGTCAATCGACTGACTAAATATCCACGCATAGATATGTCATCGGTCAACCAAATGACAGGGAAAGGGAGAGATGGACAATAATTATCGACGTTTTTAGTGAAATTATTAGCTAGTCGTTTCGTATGGCAGCAAGTAGAATGCTATTCAAGCCGACCTCTAGATTGCCGTTTCAAATTGCATCATCATCACCGTAACCAACCGACACATCACTTAGAAAATCATCCAAAATCAGCAGGAAGCACCGGATAGCTGTTTGTTCCACGCTTGGGACTATCTACAGGTTGATACACAAAACACCCACCAGGGATCGAACTACATAACCTCCAAGATACAAGGCCAGTACGTTGACCATTCAGCCTCCGAGGGATAGAATTCAATAATTCTTTTCAACTACGCTTAGGTCGTGACGGAATCTACATTGACTAAAAGGAAAGATGAAGACCAAGACTGACAAGTCAGGTAGACTTGATTCAGGCGAGAATCATGATCATCATCCGAAACAGAAGTGACATTGGTGACTAGTTTTCGTCTGAGTAAAAAGTTAAACAACTTGTGTACAAGACAATAATAGGAAGGTTGATTGGAAATAGGAGACAAATGAGGGATATGTTCGCCCAACATCTCATTGTGGATTGATTCCATCGGTGAGCAATACCTATGACTAATGACAGACAATAGAGAAGAGGGTTAGAAATCATAACACACTGGCTTCAGTTCATATGCTTTAACTAGTATACACCAATGAACTGTAGCTTTATATACAATAATAATAATGCTACTTAGTGAAGTCTCAGGTATAATTTAGATATTGGCTCAGGAATTGATAATTGAGGCCTTAACAAAGACAAAAAGCAATTTAAACGACACTTCTCCAAAACCACTGGCAGTCAATCGGCTTCCTATCGATTACCTCTAACCACCTAACACCAAATGAAAGTTCACCGCAATAGCAAATCACTCAGCTTGAAGGTGACCACATTACAAACTTCCCTAAGACAGAGAGAGAGAGAGAGAGTTCAGTCGGTCTCAGTACTGTTAAGGACAGTTCTACAGTAACATTAATTACACCTATCAATGCACATTAAAATCCTGACACACATTATTGTCTGCATGTGGCCTCGTAACCTGTCGGCATCGGGTTCGATAGCTTGTGTAATGATGAGTATGTGTGAATATAACTGAAGAGTCCAAGACTAGAACGAAACAAGTGTCAAGCACTCAATGTTGATTTTCGACGGTTCTCTAACTGCGAGTCAATGGTAGAATGCTCATTAGCCAAACAGGAGTGACTCATATTCAATTCCTGGCTGACACACTCCTTAAACCTCAGCTAGCTCATCAGGTGGTACTCAACTTGAGAAAGAGAGGATCAACCCCACTTTGTAGCAACAGCATCACCACAGCACTATGTTCCAAATGGAAAGCAAAGAGTGAAGGAAATTAAACATCAGTATTTTACTGGTGTCATTAACAACACTGCTTAACAGTTACCCTGGTTTGTTGATCATTAGTTTATTGTCCGTTTAACATACTAATCCTTTAGGTTCCCAGTGACCCATAGGGCTTCAAGCTAGAGGCTTGAAGTTTCTATAGCAGTGGTGTTATTCTTTTTTACGGAATGGGGTTGCTAGCCAGCCTCATGCCCAACCTTCCCTCTTTACCAGCCTTATTTAATGGCTTAGCGAGGCAAAGGGGTGCGTCGGTGGTTGGGGATCGAACCTGGGACCATATGAGGCGTGGTCGGCGAGCATTTTACCGCAGTGCCAGCGATACATGTTCGTTTAACCTGAATCAACATACCTCTACTTTTATGTTAGAGTAAAGGGGTTTATTTCTATTAATCGACAGTTAGTCACTGTCTGTTCAACAAACCAACTCGAACAATCTCAATATGCCATCAATACTGATTAATACAAAGAGGTTTACAGCATAAGAACATAATAATAAACAGAAGAGGGGTAAGAACATAACAAAACTAAACAAAAAAACCAAATTGACATTCAACTAACTTTTATGTACAACCATCGTACAGCAAATTCTCCTCTAAATCGTAAATCTTGCCAGATTGTAGAACGTTTCTGTGGATTGACTGGACTAACCATTTCCGCGACACCACTGAGATAACCAGATTCACGAACTGAAAAGAAGAGAATAATATGTCCAGGTGTAGATGCATTGTGTTGTTGTGTCGTGGTGTTGTTGTTAATATTGTTCTTACAGTTGGATGCTATTGACGAGGACTTTTTAGACTTTGACGCGGCTTGGTCATTTGTTGTTGTTGTCGTCAGGGATTTATTAGATTCAGCGGTATTGCCTTTTGTTTTCGATGTATCCGATTTCCCTTTGTTACTTGTACTGGTAGTTGTAGTCGTAGCAGTAGGAGTAGGACTTGAAGGAGCACTGGTGACAGCGGCAACAGCTCCAGAAACAACAGATGACTAGATTTTTAAAAGGTTCAAAACACAGAAAAGGAAAGAAAGAAAGAAATATAAAGTGCTAAAAATAACACCAACAGACAACTTTCTAAATGGTTCGCTAACTGACATCATAAGCTCGTGATCAAATCTGCAGCCAATCAAATCACTGCGACTGACTCTATACACAAATTTACCTGGAGTTCCAGTGAGAAGTCTTTAACTAGTGGGATCCACCAATTCAAGTAATAGGACAATTAATAACCAATAATATTGAATGGAGGTCGGGATAAATATCTCGAGTAGGCAGAAGTTGGAATTCATGGGCTATTGTATCGGTTCCTAGAGGCTAAAATGTCTACGAGCTCACCTTGTAACCAGGATGTCGTGGATTTGAACCTAGTGTGTGCAGACTGCAGAAGAGTCTCAAACTAGGATGAAACAACTGTCCAGTACTGCCTGGTTTTCCAATGGTTCCCTAACTGATATCATCAGCTAGTGATGAAACCTCATAAGTAACTACCTGATAATCTTGACAGTTATTATATCAAAGACACAACAAAAGTATTTAGTCTAGAGTTTGTCGACTTCTTCCCCTCCTTCTCTATCTCTTATTCATAAGGCTAAAGAATGAAACTGGTACTTGAAGTGTATGAAGTGGTTTATTACTGTAACGACAGAAGACAAGGGCCAGGAAACAAACAGATCGTTTATTGAGACAATCAACAGATATTTATATATTTTTATGTACATTATTATTAGCGTTATTGTTAGAGAAGATGCAACGTCTTCTGATTGATCGTTTTCTCGATGGAGGTTATTCTGTACTGCTTGTGACCATTTCTCAGAAAGTTAAGCCATACATCTGCGAATTGTATTCGCACACATTAAGTCTTCTGTGATTGGTTGGTGAGTTCCTTAAGGCTAAGCTGACTAGGGATGTGAACACTGTCGTAAATGGTTGTTTACAATTTCGGCTTGCAGACAACTCTCACCACATGACAGCTGACAGTACCAAAGGAAAAAGTTAAGTGTCAAAGACCTTATTTGAAAACAAGTGATAGAATGCTTCCCAGCAAAGTGTGAGGTTTGGGTTGGACTTTTATACTTCACTGCTGCTGAAACTTCAAAATTTGAGACCTCATACTTCAATCGGAAGGCATGGAACGCGAAAAGAAAGAAGATAAATAGTAGTGTGCTAACACGTAAGACTATCCCAGACGATTTTATCATTAATTACTAATTTTTGGAACCTTGTACCTTTGAAATATAAACGTAACCTGGTAAAGTGTCTAGTTCATAGAGCCAGGTTAATCTGTTCAGACGATTGCCTCAATGTGGCCATCACATCTCACAGCCATAAAGGAAGGGGAAGGAGAGGACTTCTGAGCAGTACACACACCGTTTGCTCGACAACCAGCCGGATATCACGTCTACGCCAGAGGCAGCGTAAACTGGCATATGCGAAACGAGTCTTCTGCACCCGTGCTGAGATTTCATCAGCGATCGACCCGTCGGGTTTGATGCAGCTTCCCAAATAATAGAAGTGGTCAACACACTCCACCAACCAATTCACTCCTGCCTATCTTCATGCTAGGAGTCAGTGTTGTCCAGTCAGTCCTGTAGCATCATCATCTTACATTTGACAGAGAGAGCGAATTGCACGCCAAACATTCGAAGACTGCTGTACAGCTCAAGGTGTTCATTCAGAAGACTCTGCATTATATGTCAGCATCTTCACCACCTAGAAGGACTATATCGACGAGATTATTCCGAGACATTAACAAGTCAGTCCATAAGTCTTTGAAGTCAGTCAATCATCCTCAGTCATCCAACACAGAATACAAGTAGAAATCGTTCTGAGGGTGATAAATTTAGCAACAATGAAATAAAATTGGTCAATCTAAAATTAGTTAAGTAGTAATAATAATAATTATAATTCATTTTAATAATAGTAAAAAGAAAATAGTGTGTGAGTGTACGTGTTTTCACGATAGTTTCAGCAATAGTAGTAATTAAAACTGTTGATCAAATTGACAGAAATACTCAGTATAGTTATTATGTGTAGGTGGGTGGATGGATGGATGGATATATGTGGGGGCGCTGCAGAGAGTGATTAAGAAAAAAAGGTGCTAAAAAAATATAATGGTAGTCTGTTAATTGTGTCATTCTATCTCACGATGTTTTATTCTAGTTACTAAAGCCAATCCAATCTACAATATATATTTTTACAAGTTTGACCACAGATTGATACCACATTTAGAGAACCATTGAAAACCAGCCACAGGGAGTACTGGACAGCTGTTCCCTACGTCCTAGTTTGGGAGTCATCGTCAGCACATACCCACAAACGCCCAGGGTTCGAACCCAACCCAGGACCTTCCGGTTACAAGTCAAGTTGGCTCGTATACCACTCAGCCACTGGGGCCCAACTCCTCAATGGCCGCAAGTGCTTGAATCCTAACTTCTACCATTTCGTGATTTTTAAGGTGACTAGCGCCAACCAATGCCATCAGTGAGAAATCCACTCTCACTCCCCACTGCATGAGCCTCTCAATGGTCACAACTTCTCACTAGAACTGCAAGGAACTCCATCCAGTAGCTAGTCAATGAAACGGGTCCCGCCAGTGGCTTGCCTCGTAACCGGAAGGTCATAGGTTCGAAACCCAGTGGGTGCGTACTGCTGAAAATTATTTAAGAACAGTCCCAAACTAGGCTGACAAAACAGCTGTCCACTACTCCTTGCTGGTTCTCAATGGATCACTAACTCGAAAAAATGTTGAATATCACTTAATATGCGTCGGTGGCACAGCGGTTAGGACACTCGCCGACCATGCACATAGTCCAAGGTTCGATCCCCGGCCGATGCACTCCTTTACCCCGCTAAACCAGAAATAATGCTGGTGAAGAGGAAAGGTCGGGCATGAGGATAGCAGCCCCGTCTTGTAAAATAAATACTGCTACAGAAACTTCAAGTCACTAGCTTGGAGCCCTATGTTCCACTGGGGAACGTGAAGGAAAGGAAAAACTTAATGTGCCATGGATTTGCAGGTATTTCTAATGTAAGTTGATTTGATAAATACGCAATCTAATAATGAATACTAAAGCATAAAAAATTTCAAAGATTCATATTATATATGCTGTAGTCAAGATTTGACGCAATAGTTTCCAAACAACTGGGCGCCCAGTAAAAAGTAGACAAGGTGTTCTAATTTCTCTTTACAAAATAAATAATACACCTTTATAACAAAGAAAACAGAAAAATGATTTATTCTCATGGTTAATTTTATTTTTCCCACTGATTGACTTAAATGGACGGAAATTTTCAGTTTTTTTTGACTGATATATGTATAACGGCAGAAGACAAGGGCCAGGAAACAAACAAATCGTTTATTGAGAAAGTCAAGAGGTATTTATAGATTTTTATAAACATTATTATTAGCGTTATTTTTAGAGAGGAAGCAAAGTCTCCTTATTGGTTGTTTCCTTGCTCAAGGTTATTCTGTTATCTCTTTGTGACTGCTTTTCAGAAAGTTAAGCCATATATCTGCGAATCAATCCTACTTACACACGTTAAGTCTTCTGTGATTGACTGGTGAGTTCTTCAAGGTTAAGCTTTGTTATTTTCTTTTATTTTTGATTACAGCTTGATTCCACACTGTATTCATGGTACAAGTATGGAATTTTCAGCATGGATATCGGTAGCCCAAATTTTGCAGGCCGACCACAGATATCAGGTGTTCGTCGTCAGAGGACAGAACCTCGGATCATGTGGATAGTCGGCGAGAGTCCTAACCACTGTGCTACCGACGCACAGTGACCCTGAATCAGGATGTAACACTGAGGTAAATTTATGTCTACAATTTCGGCTTGTCCACAGGCAGCTCTTGTAGCAACAGAAGACAAGGGCTGGCAACAGATCGTTTTATTACGGAAATCAGCAAGTATTTATATATATTTCATTTACATTATTATAGCTTATTCAAGCAGATAAACACAGTCTTCGGATTGGTTGTTTCTTGCTCAAGATGACTGCTTTCTCGTAAAGTTAAGCCATATCTCTGCGAATCTTGTTTGCCCACGTTAAGTCTGCTGTGATTAGTTGTTGAATCAGCCTTGTTCATATTTGCTCACGGCCAATATTAATGACCCAGGCATCGACGTAAATTAATGTCTACCGATTGGCTAGCAGCCTGCTCTCACTACACCTTTACCTATCTGGCCAGCATCGTTTCGTCTACACGCTGCACAGATGACAATATCAAAATGAGGATGGGAAAGGCAAAGACAGACCTTCATCAGTCTGATGTCAGTTTGCAGATCTACTACAAACAGCATACTGAACGCAATTCAAATTTCCAACACCAATGTTAAATCATTCAGTTTTTCTGAATGACCCGGGAACTTAGCGCCAGCTGGTCACGAAAAGTATTTCCAACAGGTTGCACACTTTTATCAACAGTTATCTTCTATCCATACTGAAGATCAGATGGCTACAAAGAATCAACAACAAGAAACTCTGGGAACAGACCAACTGCTCAATAACTATGCTGTTGGAAATGACCGACCGTTGAGAGTTCTCGCAGGTCAAAGGGTGACTCTCGAGTGGAATAGAGATGAGGAACTACGAATTGGGCAGAGCGTCGTAGGTGACATCGAGGGAAACATGTGAGGAGCAGTAGATAAAAGCTTATGGATAATCATTGAATCAGCTGAAGAGGACTGCCAGGTGCAGGATGAAAGGGAGATATAAAAGTGAAGCCTTATGTTTTTACGAGTTGATCACGGATTGATATCAGTCAGAGAACCATTGAAAACAGCTGTTTCTTCATCCTAGTTTAGGACTCATCGGCAGTACACACGCACACTCCCACGGTTCGAACCTAGGAAAAGGCAAGCTAGCTCGTATACCATTCAGTCACTGGGATCCAACTCCTCAATGGTCAGTGCATGAATCCTAACTTCTACCAATTCGTGATTTTTAGCGCGACCACCAACCAATGTCATCAGTAGGACATCCATCCTCACACTTGACTGGATGGACCTCACTTTTCACGACTTCTCACTAGAACTCCAGGAAACTCCATCCTATAGCAAGTCACTAGCGAGCATCAGATTAATTTTCTATAGTTGGTTTGGTGCTCGCTAGTGACTTGCTACAGGATAGAGTTTCCTGGAGTTCTAGTGAGAAGTCGTGATCAGTCAGGCTCATGTAGTGGGGAGTGGGAGTGGATTTCCCACCGATGACATTTGTTGGTGCTAATCGCGCTAAATCACGAATTGGTAGAAGTTAGGATTCAGGCACTGGCGGCCGTTGAATCGAGTCCCAGTGACTGAATGTTATACGAGCCAGCTGGACTTGTAACCGGAAGGTCCTGGTTTCCAACCCTGAGTGTGTGTGTGGGTGTGTACTACCAATGAGTCCTAAACTAGGATGAAACGACTGTTCAGTACCCTCAGCTGATTTTGAATGTATCTCTAACCATGATATCAATCCGTGATCAACTCGTAAAAAAACAAAACTAACCCTTACAAACCAAACTATAGAGAAGTCTTATGTTCCAATAGGAACCCAAGAGAATGATAATATAAAGTTTATCAACACTAATAGTGATCTCGAAAAAGTGCGCTAGTTGGTCGTAAGGCTGGTACTGCTTACTCCATGGCATGTATGTCACTCAGACGGCAAGGAGTGGAAAAAACGCACAAACTACAAGTATTCTCTGTTCGATTGATAATAATTAGATAAATACTACTTATAACTGATTACTTTCAGTAGAGATCGTTTACTTACTGTGTTTACAGCTAAAAAAAGTAAGCATTTCAATTTTAGTTTATTATTTTAATAACGAAGAAGAACATTTCAGTTGTTTTAATACCTGTTACATAACACGACCAGACATGATCGAATGCTACATATGTATGTTACCTTCCATAGATGCGTATGTATGCCTTGTTTATATGCATACATGTAAGTGTATGCATGTGCGAGTGTGCGAAGAGCCAATATGTTGGAATATGCACCGTAAATACTGTCTGAATTATTCATTTTATTGCAGACTGAATAATCTTACTAAAAATATACATAAACACATGTACAGACAGACAGTTTACAGAGTGTAAGTAAAGTAAGGTTCCCTCAATCACATACAGACACAACTTTTGTGCTAATTTCAATACTTATTACTTGGGCTCCAAATGAATTTATCATGTATTTTAAGTCACTAATGTGAGCGTCTGGTTAAGTTATAAGAGTTAGTTCAGCGGTAGAATGCTCGCAAACCACGCCTCACATGGTCTCGGGTTCGATTCTCAGCCCGATGCAATTTCTTACCTCGCTTAGCCAGAAGCGAGTAAACCTGGTGATGAAAAGGGAAGGTTAGGCGTGAGGCTAGCGACCTACTCCTGTAAAATACTGAAATATACCATAGCTAAAACCAAAAGCCCTATGTTCCATTCGGCAACCTAAGAAATGAAAGAGAGTTTGCAGATATTTGATTTGTTTCAAGTTTGATATCAGCTAGAGAACGATTGAAAACCAGCTCTAGGAGTACTCCACACCTGTCTGTTTCATTATAGTTAGGGGCTCTTCAACAGTACGCATCTATAACCTCACCAAGCGTCGAATGCAGGACCTTCAGACTACGAGGTGTGCTGACTGACTATTCAGTGACTAGGATGGAATCCAATGGCCAGTCACTTCCATTAATTCTAAGACCTGTAAATTAGCAATTTTAGTCCGACCATCAGAGAATGTCATGGGTGAGTTTTCATTCGAACAACCCATCTAGTGAACTTCAACTGTAGTCACTGGTCATGCTAACAAATTCCAACTATTTCTGTTTCTGATTATAGCTTGATTCCACACCGTATTATTGGTACAAGTATAGATTTTTTAGTATGTGAAATCGGTAGCCCAAATTTTGCAGGCCGACCAATGGATAACAGGTGTTCGTGGGCAGGGGATCGAACCCCCGACCATGTGAATGGTCGGCGAGAGTCCTAACCACTGTGCCACCGACTCACAGCATCTTTACGAGCCTAACCAGATAGTCTTCGCCACCTCTCACACACACACACACAGCTCAAATCGAAAGTCAATTACTTGATGGAATGGTGCTACTTTTTGTTGAGTATGTCGACAGTACGAAGACTGTTTCATCCTTATCCTATGAGGTGTGGTTCAATAATGTTTTTATATACTACCACGTATGATCTGGTTGAAAATAGGAATCACTGAAAAATAATAATAATAATATTGTATACTTGAATTTTAACTGCTTAGTCCATTCCTTTCCATTTTTTCGAGTGGAACATGCGACTTTCAGCTTGAGCCTTAAAGTTGGTTGCAGTAACCACTCTCTTAACCCAACTTCCTTTCTTTACCAGGCTAACTACATGCTAAGCAAGGTTAAGGGATGCATCATCTAGAAATCTAGCCCAGATAAAAGTGAATGGTTGGGTCCCACTCGAGCAATGGTCTGGCGTGTGATGTCACTCACGTGATGATTTGTTTTCTCAGAGTATGACCACCAATCCACCTGCATTTCTTCATGCATATTTTTGCACAATCGGTACCTGGTTGGTATCACTCATCTAGCTGGCCATCTCATCCTGAGTAGTATTGAGCGAAGACAGCTTTTAATGAAGGTGTGTGTGGTCCGAAGTGCCCTTCATGAAGCGGCGTGGCGCCAAGTCTCTGATATATTTAGTAGCGTTGACTTTACATTGGAATTGAAAATCCAGATCTTATTTTTCATGCGGAGTAGTGCTGTTAACCTCCACACAGACTTGAGAGTAGTGAAAGCTTGCCTTGATTTCCCTGTCCTCGCGTTTTGATATCCTCATCAGTTCCATCCGCCTATAGTTGAAACAATGATTCCCAGGTAGATAGGTAGGTAGTTAATGGAGGTTGCTTCTTTCAGATTTCTCCCATTTATGGTGGCTGATCGTTGTCTGTTATTGTTTCTGTTGTTGTTAGTCAGGAATCTTCATCACCACATCTGTTTTATCTATGTTCACCTGGAAGAACTCCTATGTTTGATTCTTCTTCTGCTGATTTTGTGGGAAATCAGACAAATACCATTGGCGAAGTCCAGATCCTCCAAGTCTTTTGTGTGGGTCCATTTTATGTGTGTCTCCTCACTGCCCGCCGCTGTCTGTCGCATTATCCGCCCTCAATCAGGAAAATCATTGGACACAGTACGCAGCCAGCCTTGCATTACTCCCGTCTTCACTTCGAACGATTCTGTGAGTTTCCCGTTGTGGATTACTTGGCAGACAGCATTGTCGTACAACTGTTGGTGGCACCTGTTGGTAGTAGCGAAGTATTTTCCAAATCACCTGTCGATCAATGCTGCGCTATCGAAGCCCCTTTTCAAAGTCAACGAAGTTGAGTGAGATAGAGAGCTGACTGCCATTCCAAGCTAGCTCTGTTCAATAATGATCCGTAGTGTTGGAATTTCATCGATGCATGACTTGGAGCGAAAAGGCAATCAAAATTACAGTTTGCTCTAATAATTTCGCTTGATAATAAAATCCATATTTCAAATAAACTCTTATACATATTCATATATATACATGCATAATATTAATTATGTCAGAGATCATTTCGAGAAGCATAATTGACAAATAAAAATTAGAATAATTGAATTGTACTTTGAACTCACATCATCCTCTGTGGACTGGTCATTCGTCGGATCTGACTTATTACCAGTATTATTTGTATTACCAATATTAGTAGTATTAATAGTGGTGGCTTTTTCGGTTTCAGATCCCCTCAAAATCGATTCATCATCATCATTATCATCACCTTTATTAATCCCACTGCTGGTGCCTCCACTGGCATCACTGGTATTACTTTCTATACTGTTACCATTAGTTGTAGACGTGAGTACTGTTGAAGTTGCAGCGCTGGTCGTAGTCGTAGTATTAGTATTCGTAGTAGTAGTCGTGGAAGTAGTAGCAATGGAAGTACCACGTACAGATCGAAAGGCTTCATCTAAACACTGATTACCAGTACGTGTTGAACACCATACACCATATTTCATTGATTGTTGGACATTATAAGGATAATCTGATTTAATAATGAAGTAGCGTGCTCTATGCACCAGTGATGTATCAAAATGCGTAGGATTAACACTAGAAAATCAATAAAACAATAAACATGAAAATTATGATTAGAACTTATGTATATGTATGTATGTATGTATATTCATATTTTAATTATGTTAATGAGAATTAGTGTGCACACCTGTGGTTCACTGGTAGAATTTCAGTCTACCATGAAAGTGGTCCCGGATTCGATCCTCGGCAACAGAGGCGCACTCCTTTACCTCCCTTTTAGCTGGTAGTAAGGCTAAAAGGGGAGAGCTGTGCATGGGGCTGTGGCAACCCCAGCCATCTCCCGTGAAAAAAAGATAAACGTCAGTGCTACTGAAATTTCAAAGTTTTAGCTGGAAGCTTTATATATTCCCGTTGGGAAATCAAACAAATCAAATAAAAGTAATAATACTCCATTGTAAATAAGATTTTATTTTGATAAATCAGACAGTACTGTTATACAGTAACATTAACTGATGACCACGTTTCAAGCACAAATATAGGGATGGAACATCTGAGCCCCTATGTAGGATTCTCAATAAAGCAGGAATTAGGGTGACATTCAAAACTATCAGAATTTAGAGAATTTAGCTAAGGTTAGAATGATTGACCCCACTCACGAAGATAAGTAATTTAGAAGAAAGCTCAGCAATTCCACTATATGCATTAACACACAACCACACAATAGGGTGCTTGGGATAGAGTCAAAATTCTAAAATGTAATATAGATAGGTAGGTGGAGAGTTAGAGAGAGGTCGATTACTGAGTCCTGGTTCATCGAGTCTACACACCCAACACATGCAACGGAAATGAATCAACGCAAATACCAGAGATATGTATCGAAGATATTATTAGCACCAGTCAAATCAGGGGAAAATAAATAACGTCAAAATTCTATTTCAATTCACATATGTTATAACACTGTAACAAGTTATTTATTGATTTATTTTAGTGTAAAAACATCTTGTTTCCCATCTGATTGTATTTGATTGATAACACTAATATTACTACTTCCGAATGTACTTTATCCTAAATTGATTTTATTCAAGTGTCTAATCATCAATTTTTACTCATGCATATAAATGAAGCAAGAAAGTTGTGTGAGTGAGTGAGCACCTTGACATGATTATGAGCAGTGGCAATAAACTGTGCTCGAAACGTGGTCACATCAGTAAATATTACTGTATAACAACACAATAATACTCTACCACAAAAGTGCCCAATTTTTATACTTATATCAAAAGTAATAATAAAATGGAGTTAGTGCTAAGTTGGATGGAAACTTTCAAAATTCTAGTTTTGATTGCGAGAACTTTCTACATAACGTTACTGCCCTGCTGTCATTAAACCGTACGACATCTCAAAAATGCATAAATGACATTATCGAAAATCGGCCGATGGAATTTGGGCAAGTAGTACATTAGTTGGTACTTTCTACTAATAGGCAAGAAGAAGAATTACGAAGAAAATAAAAGACAGGTTCAGCGAAGAAAATTTTCTTTATCGACGAAATCATCTTCAGAGGCTGACGACTGTACAGTCGTATTTATACTTAGAAAATGTATAGTGGTCTATTATTGAGTAATAGGGGGTGACATAATTGGTGTAAATAGTCATAAGTGGCTTCAGAAGTGAAAGTTAAAAGTTGTAAATTACATGGTACTCAACGAAAAAAAGATAGAAGTTAGAAAAGTTTAAAATTGCTCTTGAGTGAGAATAAAGCAGGTAGTTGACTGTCAATTTAATAAGTGTGAAGAGGGTGTGAAAATATACAAAAGGAGCATATGAAATTGATAATAGTGAATTAATTAATCAAGTAACAGGCAAACTAAAAGTAAAATTGAAAATTAAAAAAACAAAAGAAAAAATCAAAAATATTTTACAGGGAACGATTAGTGAAGAGGTTAAGACCAAGGTAGAATAAGAGACTGGATAAACTTTTTCTGTACACAGAGTTCAGGGTTGTATTGATGTACTGCCAGCGCCTCCGCCATACATAAACGTTTTTACTTTTCTTTTTTAATTTTACTTTTAGTTTGCCTGTTACTTCAATAATTAATTCACTATTATCAATTTCATATGCTCCTTTTGTATATTTTCACACCCTCTTCACACTTATTAAATTGACAGTCAACTACCTGCTTTATTCTCACTCAAGAGCAATTTTAAACTTTTCTAACTTCTATCTTTTTTTCGTTGAGTACCATGTAATTTACAACTTTTAACTTTCACTTCTGAAGCCACTTATGACTATTTACACCAATTATGTCACCCCCCCTATTACTCAATAATAGACCACTATATATTTCTTTTTGTAAGTATAAATACGACTGTACAGTCAGCCTCTGAAGATGATTTCGTCGATAAAGAAGCATTTTCTTCGCTGAATCTGTCTTTTATTTTCTTCATGACTCAATGGGTATTTTCCGTGATTTGAAGTAGAATTACACAAACATGCTGTGATACAAGTACTGTCCTGGATTAATAAATCGTTGTATTCTTGTGGTGAGAGCTAGCTGCAAGTCTAAAATTGTAGACAGCAATCTACGTTAGTGTTACGTCCTGAATAGGGGTCACGAGAAGAAAACAATAACTAAGCTTAACCTTGGGGAACTCACCAACCAATCACAGCAAACTTAAGGTGTGCAAATACGATTCGCCGATATATGGCTTAACTTTCTGAAAAACGGTCATGAGCAGTACAGAATAACTAACCTTCAGCAAGAAAACGACCAATCAAAAGACGATGCTTCTCTGCTAACAATAACGCTAATAATAATGTACATAAAATCTATAAATATCTGTTGATTCTCTCAATAAACGATCAGTTGCCTGGCCCTTGTCTTCTGTCATTACATTCGTACTTTGCTGACAAAAAGCAATCAACTGCAGTTTGATAATAGAAGCTCTTTTGTCGCTTTAGTTACTCTAGCCGGTGTCGCTGAAGGTGTTGTTCTTTCTCCTTTCCTCCTACATAACTTGCTTCATCATTCTGATGAAACTAATTGTATTAAGTATGCTGATGATCTGACCCTTTACTTCTCAGTCAGATTGTTCCAAAATGAATAACTTTTTATCAGAAGTTATTCAATGGTCATTGTCGACTGGTTTTAATCTAAATCCCTGCAAATGAGAGATTGTTAATTTTACTTCCAGACACAGATGGGATTTACATGAATTGGTTCGTTCGCATGATTTATGTATCATAGATGGCAGAGAATTTGAAGCTAAATCGAATGTTAAATACCTTGGATTATGTCTTTTCTCTTGCGTAGATGGCACAGAGGTAGAGTGCTCACCAACCACACCTCACATGTTCCCGGGTTCAATCCCCAATCACCGACGCACTCCTTTACCTCGCTAAGCCGGTAATAAGACTGGTAAAAAAGAAGGTTGGGCATGAGGCTGGCTAGCAACCTCATCCTGCAAAAATAAACACCACTGCTACAGAAACTTCAAACCTCTCTAGCTTGAAGCCCTACGTTCCGCTAAGAACGTAAAGGAATATAAAAACATGTCTTTTTTCTGATTTTTCCTGGTCTTCCAACGTCATGGTAATTTCTAGGAAGATGCTTCTTCGTACATTTTACGTTAGGAAGTCTCTACTTTTATAACTTGTTAATTCTTGTATTCAGTCTATTCTTATTTATTGCTCACCCCCCCTCTTAAATCATACCGGATATACTTAAGAAAGACTTTACTACGGACACTGAGAAGGACAACAAAAGCTTTGTTTAGGGTGAGTGGAGTACCTTTTAATCCAACACATTAACATTATTGTAGATAGACACTTTAACACTCTCTTTATTCACAACACTCAACCCTCATTGAATCTTATCACGTGGGTCTAAAGGTAATTGTAAAAGATTGTCGGCTTACAGCACGACCAAAATGCAGACAACTCAACACCTATGCCATATTTGGCACACATTTTTTTATGCGATGCTTGAAACTATTCATTCATTTCACTGCAAAATAGTATCCAAGCTGCCGCCTTTTTGATTCATCCTACACCATTAACATACATCACATTGTCATCATTTAATTTTATTTTTAATTTCATATAATGCAAATGTTTTTGTGATTTATTTTTCTTCACCTCACTATGCATAATTTCAAGAGAAAATTAGATACAGTATGGTACTACATGTACTGTTTGAAATAAAGCCATTACTATTATTATTATTATTACAACAGCACGTACACAACTGCAAGTTGACACCAACCCTCCAACGAAAGCTGAGGTCTTCAATGCAATCAAGCTTCTTAAAGCTGGAAAAGTAGCTGGAAAACCAGATGGAATACCCCCTGAAGCACTGAAAGCGGACCCAGAGACGACAGCAGATATGCTGACCGACTCCATTATTCCAAAAGGTCTGGAAAAAGGGAAAGGTGCCTCCTACTGACTGGAGGAAAGGTTACCTCGTGAAACTACCAAAGAAGTGCGACTTACGCCTCACTCTGCAAGAACTGGCGAGGAATTATGCTCCTGTCGACGCCAAGCAAAATCCTGAGTCGCATCATCGAGAGAATAAAGGACGCACTGGATACAGAATTCCGCCTGCCGGAACAAGCTGGATTCAGGAAAGTCAGGTAAATCATGTTCTCACCAAATTGCAACTCTACGCATCATCACCACAGTACAAAGCATGGAATGGCGATCAAACCTCTACCTCAACTTTATAGACTTTGAGAAGGCCTTCGACAGACAGCGTTGACCGCGAAGTAATTTGGAAACTGCTCGAGTACTACAACGTACCCCAAATATTCATCAACCTTATTCAACAGCTGTACGACAATGGCACACGTCAAGTGATCCACAACGGAAAACTTAGAGAGGCGTTTGAAGTAAACACATGAGTCAGACAAGGGTGCTGATTATTATCACCAATGATATTCCTAATTGTGGTGGATTGGATTATGCGTCAGACTGTGCATCGGGAGCGAGGAGACAAGAATACACTGCACCAGCGATAAGAAGACTTTAGAAGATTTGGATTTCACGTGTGGATGATTTGTGTTTAATTTCAGACAAACTC